TATACATACGTTATATAAAAATATTTGTATTTGAATCCTAGACAAATATTTTAAGGTTTATTTCAGTTTAAATGATTCACTTATGTTCCAGTGAACTTTGATTCATTTTTCACTCAGTGTAAGTCTGTCAAAGTTGAAACTTGTTTTTCTGAGCAGGTGCAAATGTTATTCCACCATGGCAGAGACTTTTAGACTAAACTTTTCATTCCTTCCTCCTGACTAACTAAAAGTCGATGTCATTCCTAGTTACTCCCTCTTTAGAGACTAACACACAGACAGAGCCTCGACAAGAGGGAACGAAAGAAGAAAGAGACGAAAAAAGACCATTTTTCGTCTCCTCGAGCTGCTGATTCCTTTTCAGGAAAATTCAGCCTTTGACAATCAGATCTGCCTCTGGTGCCAACGAGCGAGTCTTGTCTAAAATCATGACACCTTCGGTCTTGGTTCAACAACAGCTTTGAAGCTCCATTATTTTTAAACTTCTGAAGAGAAGTCTTTTATTTTGAAAGAAAACCTGAGCGAATCTCGTCTCTCTCTGCCGGAAAAACGCAGATCTTCTGAGACGCTGTAAATCAAAACGTGGGAGTTTTTACTGGTCGTAAGGGTCCTGACCTGGCTATCCTTAAAAAGAGTGAATCCTGCCCACACGCTTGACCTGACGGTCGAAAACATCACCAGGTAAAGCTGAAGTTTTGTAAAGTGTTCGGAGGTCTGGCCGACGCGGTGGTGAAGACGCAGGGTGCTCGTTCTGGTTTTCACACTTTGATAAGATAATTGATAATTCTTCAATCTTAAAACTAATCCTCCTTTTCTTTACTGCTCTTAATCTTAAAACCTTGTCATAAGTTTAATGTGCCTGTAAACATCTGCTTTATCAAGATCTAAGCCTAAAGTTTACTGTTCTTTCTAAGTTGTCATATTTTACATTTATAACAGGTAAAATAAGTATTGAACACGTCACCATTTTTCTCAGTAAATATATTACTAGAGGTGCTAATGACA